TTAATGATAAAATTAAATGTTAAATATAAAGCTTCCACTACAAAATACATACATAATAAAAATAATACAATATTAACATGACATTAAGGTTCTGGAAAAATGGATTATTATTTCCTTTCTTTACAAAGTGTGTAGGTATAAAAATAGGTACTTATAGTGTTTTTATAGCTACAGTTTCTGATAGTAATTTTTTAATTTGTAAATAGTATGAATGAATATTAATATTGGAATTGTTTTATTACATTTTTTCCTATGTTAAATGAAGCAATTGTATCAACAATTAAAATGCTTAACTGTCATAACAAATTGTACATTACCATAAATAAGAAAAATTCAATATTTAATTATAATTTATGTTTCTTTAAGAATACTACGAAGGTTTTTGCACTCTGACATGTCTGGATCACCAGTTCCTGCTCCTTTCTCAAAGAAAAAATTTATAGCGCATTGTCAACAACTTATTGATAATCCTGGCAAATTAAGCAATGAATTTCAGCTACTTCAAACTCTCAGTGTTGATTTACAGATGCCAAACAATACTGCGTGTTTACAAGCTAATAAAAAAAAGAATAGATATTCTGATATTTTACCATGTAAAGTTATTATTACATTTACATAGTAAAGTAATTTAAATTTACTATTATACTATTACTATATTACATTAAGCATATATCATTGCATATACATTTTCAGATGATTTCTCAAGGGTTAAATTGGAAGTAATCGATAATGATCCTAACACTGACTACATCAATGCATCTTTTATTAAAGTAAGTAAATGCAAAATTAATTCAGTTGTTATGATGGAATATATATTAAGTTTACACATATTATTTGTAGGGTTATAGTGGGGAAGATGAATATATAGCTTGTCAAGGCCCAAAAGAAGAAACTACTTTTGATTTTTGGAGAATGATAGAGCAATATAATACTAATATAATAGTTATGTTAACAGAATTAGTCGAAAAAGGCAAAGTAAGATTTTTACATAAAATTTGTTTGAATGTTTGTTAACACGTGGATATTAAAAATTACTTTATAGGAGAAATGTCATCAGTATTTTCCAACCATTAGAGAAACTTTTAAGTATGAAAATATGACTATAAAATGTATAAGTGAATTGGATTATAGATCTTATACACAAAGAACATTAATATTGCAAAAGGTAAAAGATTTGATAAAATTTATTTACAAAAATTAATAATATACATTAACCCTTTCGCTGTTGATTAAAAAGATGATGTTCAGCAATAAAATTGCATATTTTTTCGTGTTTGAAAACACTTCAAAAAACGCCTGTACGACGTACGGGCTAAACAGCGAAACGGTTATTTATAATTGTAATCTTTTTAATTACAAGTAAAATGTTATACAGGAAAACAAAAAAAGAAATGTAACCCATTTACATTTTAACGAATGGCCAGATCATGATGTTCCAGAGGATTTTGATCCTATGATTCATTTTTGTCAAATTGTACGTCGCAATGTTTTGGCTAATAAAGGATATATTGTGATTCATTGCAGGTAAAAATATACAAAATTTTATCGTATAAAATCAATATTTTACATTTCTCTTTCTTTTTTTTTTACATTTCTTTTTCATTATGATCAGTATTTCAACAATCTAAATTAATGATATATATTTTCACAGTGCAGGAATTGGTAGAACTGGTACTTATATAGCAATAGACATACTTTTGCAACATATTCGAGATAATAGGAAATTAGATGTATTTGGGACAGTGTATAGATTGCGACATCATAGAATAAACATGGTACAGAAAGAAGTAAGAAAATCCCAGATATTTTGTACCAATATTAACAAAATATATGTATCTACCACAAAATCTTCTTAATTTGTATTATATCTTTTTAGAGTCAATATGCTTATATATATAATTGTATAAAGCAAGTATTAAAGAATCCCTACTGTTTAAAAAGTTGTAAGGTTTTTATGAATACTATTTGTTGATTTAAACTTATTTAAAAATAATATAAACATTTAAATTTTCATACCTTTAGATAAACCACCACCTATGGATCCATTGCATGAAAATTCTTCGAAAAAAACAAGAATAGTACCAAGTTCAAATACAAATCTAGTCAACAATTTTGAGATATGTATGTAGCAAATAATATTTAAATATTTATTTCTGTTTTGTACAATAGAATGAAGATGTTCAGCATTATAATGGATATAAGGTATGTTATAGTAACAAAAAATTATAATTGTAATCATACTTTCCTTATTTCATTATCCTTTTTTAACACGTTCGTCGCCCAGCGTGAATCGATCGAGTTTCTCGCGGGGCCCAAATCCGATAGTCGGAGCGCAAGAACGTAAACAGAGCGATTAGCTGGAATTTGCGTTCTATGTTACCAGAAGAAGAGACAAATTCTCGAACGCCAGGAAGCGAGAAAAAATGTAAAAAAGACGACAACATATTGTCCCAATTGTCCAAAATCACCAGAAATGTGTTCCAACTGTTTTAACGAATACCATGCTACGTAGTATAATGTTGTATTTTATTTTAAATATAAATTAATGTATAGTATAATATAGTGTGATATTCCATTAAATTCTTGTGTTATATGGATTTTTATAAATTACTTGTGAAATCCTATTTAACTTGACGAAGAAGAACGTCACCCATATCTGGGTGACGTGGCGACGAACGTGTTAAAAGGTGTCTTGGAAAATTCGATTAAAAAATCTTTATATATTTGTCTAATATGACAAAATGTATGCATTTTATTTATAATAATATTTGAATCAAATTTTATTGTTACAGTACAAAAGCATAAGTTCTCTTCATTTTTATGGATATATTATTTTATCAGGCAGAAAACCTCAAAAAATAAAATAATGGTAAGGTTTTTATGTGAGTTTACAAAAACATTATCGGATAATTTGATATAACTAAATATAATTATGCATATGTACTTTGAACAAATATAAGTTTAAAAGATAAAAGTAGAATTAACCAATTATTAACATTCATTCTACAATTATCATTCAGGGTTGTTATCAATGCTAGCAAGTATTCTAAATGAGAAGCATCAACCTCCTTTCCAATGTAAGTTTTTTTATTTCACTTAAATCATATATTAAAAGTGAATATATAAATAATGAAATTATGCTTTTAGGACAAATTTAATTCCA